TTCCTCGGGGTCAGCTGGCAGCAGAGGTGCGTTGGGGGCTCTGATGACGTGTCTGCGTGCCGCCCGGTCTCAGGGTGTTCTCAAGTCTGTGGAGGAAGAATTGTGGGGTGGCCTGGTGCCGCTCCCACTAAAGCGACAAGCTCTGGTGCACAAACATGATCAGGTAAACTGGAACTGCATTATGTTAACTGAATTATTTACTGAACCTTTAATAATTAACGTCTGACATGTTAAACCGGGTAATATCGATAACACAAAGGGAAATGAAGGCTGTTTATGTGAATTCAGGTGAGAATGGATGCTCTGGGTTTGGTATGTGAGAGCCATCGCAGCACGGAAACTCTGTCCAGACAGGAAATAGAGCTAATCTGCTACTTCCTGCCCTTTAATCTAAACAGTCAGTCACCAGGAGTCAGACAGCAGACTGTCAGTCTGTTAAAGAAGGTAGGAAGTGATGTCAGCTCAAGCTTTGATTGGCCAGAGGACATTGGAGGCATGTTCTGATTGGCTCGTGTCTGTTTTGTTGTGTTGTCAGCTCTTGTGTAGGGTGAAGGACAGAGCTCAGCTGCTGCAAAAGAGACTGGACCAACATGACGACCACAAAGACCAGCAAGTCCTCAACATGTACCAGGTAGTACTGTGATACTAAGTGAGCTGTAAGAGAAACCAGAGTCCTGCACTCGAACCGTAACTGGTGCGGATCGGGGAATCAATAGGCACGGGTGGACTGCGGGTCCAATATCCAAGACTACTTCGACTCAGTTCGGTACCTGCTGATAGGCAGTTGCTTTCAAACAGTCCTGTGCTTAGTTGTGTTCATGCTCTGCGGTCTGAAGACCGTCAAAGGTTTCTATTTACAGAGTGATTTGCAACATTGAGTATTGTAGCCATTCGCACTGCAGCTCAAATGAATGACAGCTTGATTATAAAGGGAGCGCTCTTTGCTCGCTTTCTGTATATAATCTATCCACGCATACACTGCAGAGTTTCAGGAGAGACAACGTAAAACGAACGTAAAACGTAGGCAGGCATTAAGCAAATGTGTTAGCTGTTACGGAAGTGGGATTCGAATAACAGGACTCGTTTAGGCTGTTCAGAGTCTATTCTTTCTTTTGGGAGACAATAACTTTATTTATGCTCTTTTCACTTAAATTTTGCAGATCGTTTACATTCACATACAGCTACATTGCTGCATGAAAGGCAGTATTCGAAATGGCATGATAGGGGCACTTTAAGTACTGCGGGTACAGGTTTACTCTGAGATAAACTCCACAGATAGGAGATTCACTGGTTCTGAATCTTTGCATGAGTTATTTTACTCAATAGGCATTTTTGCATTTGAAGCTGATTAGATGGTGCATAACTAAACCAAAATGTCACCTGGAAAATATAGGTAATGGAGTGAATTTAAAAATCTAAACAAGAAGTGCTAAGAAGAGTGCTCTGATTACGCAGACATTGAGTGATGTGTTAAATACAGGAGACGCACATGAAGCAATAAACAATGAGATAACAGAAGAAAAATGTGTTTTTACCATCAGCAGGAGTTCTGTTAGTTGGGATGAATCCATCAGTAATTTTCCACTCATGATTTTTTTTTCATGTTTTGATAACTAAATGGGACTACAGTTAGTTGGGGACATTAAACATCATCACGCTAAACAGGAAAAATCATTTACTAACTAGTTTACTTGTTTACTAGTTTTGCAAGCTTAATGGTGGTAACGTTGAAGCCATGCGACTGTGGTGTTCTTTGTTTTGTTCAGCCAAGCATCACTCACATTTTCTTCAGAAAATAAATAAATATCTAGCCTGATAATGAGTTTTCTTATATTTTTCCTTGCACAAGGATGTCTCCCCGAGTGGTTGACTGATATATTGCTAAGACTCATTTTATCAGCTGATATTTGACATTTTTTTTTAATTATTGGTCAAATAGAAATATGTGTATTTTACAAACTTATCAAGTTCAAATTATTATTTTTTTATATTATTTATTTCTAAATATTTTACTATAAGTCATGCAAAATAAATATTATTTCACCACAGAAATTAAGCTTGTGCTCTTTAGTATCTTTAAATTAAGCAGTTCATGTCTTTTTTTCAGGTTCTGGTTTTGCTCTTGGAGAGTCAGTGAGCTTTTCTCATGCTCAAGCTGTGCTGCACTGTCTTGCAAGCAACTTTCTTGAAGTCAAACAGCTTGCCTGCAATCTCTTAGAAAAACTGCCACCTGCAGCAGTGCGACTCCAGGTCAGTGTGAAAATAAGAGTCTGAGTAGTCTGACTAGTTTTGAGCAAAGTTCAAATGTATATGATCGCTTGTCCTCCTCTGTGTAGGAGCCGGAGAGGCTGCAGTCTTTGCTGCAGGTCGCTCTGGACCTCAGCACCAGCATCAAACCCTTCGACAGCGTCACTGCCGCTCATCTTCTCAACCTGCTGCTGCACCAGCCGGGTCTGCAGGATGCGTTGCTCAGCTGTATCCAGAAGCAGCACATCCCTGTCCAGCCACAAGCATCGATCCAGTCCCAGGCATCTGAGGCTTCCGGTCTGGAGCAGAACACCCTGGCAGGTACACTAGTGTTACATGACCATCATTCAAGATGGGTGAAAGTGTTGGTTTATGAGCCAAGCTGCCATCTGAAAGATGGTTTAAGCAGGATGTCAATTTTCAAGAATTTCCATAATTTCTGTAGTTTAATTGTGAACTTTAAAATGCATGTTCAAGACTTCAAAAACCAAGTGTCCATTCTTAAAGGGATATTTCCCTTCCTGACAGATTTCTATCCCTCCATTTAAAGTCCATGAAACCAAAACTTTGATCTAAAAAGTTTATAAAGGCATTGATGAAACTGCTTGATTCATAAGGATTCATTTTACAAAGTCTTCTGAAGAGACACAATCACTTTATATAATGAACAGATTTAATTTAGGCTTTTTTTTTTTCCTCCATTGAAAGTCTGTGTAAGGTCCACGCACTTGGCCCAATGAAGGTATCCAGTGGTGGATGAAGGTTTCTTGCGTGTTCGGTCTTTTCAGCGCGCAAAGTTACTCAATTTAGGTTTAACGCAAATCTGACTCCATTTTATTATCTAATCTGACTCCATTTTAGTATGACCTCGAATTTAGGTTGAAAGGCAAATTGGTTGTTTGTCGGTCTCTAATTATTATTATTATTATTACTCTTCTGACATTTGATTATTCTAGTTAACTCTTTACTTTATATTTACTCGTTCATTAGGTCTGTTTCTCAGGAGATCAAAGTATCGGAGTTTCTTTTATCCTTACATCTGTGTAACCAAAAATTTGAACTATGATTTTTTTTTTTTTATGAACTTTTTGAATTATTGAAGTTTTGCTTACTTGGGCTTTCAGTGGAGGGACCAAAATCTCTCTGATTACAGTAAAAATATCTTCATTTGTGTTTTGAATATTAATGAAAGTGCATTTCGAAAGACATGAGGATCAGTAAATGATGACTGGTGAATTCACCCTTCAATCTGCAATTTTCAGAAATATACTTAAAAAATTATATGTGATCCTGGACCACAAAACCAGTCATAAGGGTCCATTTCGAGAAATTGAGATTTATACATCATCTGAAAGCTGAATAAATAAGCTTTCCATTGATGTACGGTTTGTTAGGATAGGACAATATTTGGCCAAAATACAACTATTTGAAAATCTAGAATCTGAGGGTGCAAAAATAATCTAAATACTTTAATCGCCTTTAAAGTTGTCCAAATTAAGTTCTTAGAAATGCATATAGTCCTGAGCGCATCCTAAGCGTGTTCGCGTCTTCTTCTTCAGCCGGTGCGTGACGTGTCTTCTTCTTCTTGCTTTACGGGCGGATGGACTTATAAGTGCATTACCGCTACATGTCTCTCAAATGGACCATTGACACTCTATCTACAATCTCAATTAGGAGTGTCAATGGTTCATTTTGAGAGATAGGTGGCGGTAATGTACTTATAAGTCTGCGATCTGCCGTAAAGCAAGAAGAAGAATAAGATGCATCACACGCCGGCTGAAGAAGGCGCAAATGTGCTCAGTTTTTTTATTTTTTTGACACTCAAAGCCGTGATTCCCATTCACTTCCATCATGAGACTGACAGACTGCAACGGTTTGAGTTAAAAATCTTAGTTTGTGTTCTACTGAAGAAACAAAGTCACCTATATCTTGGATGCCCTGGGGGTAAGCAGATAAACATCAAATTTTCATTTTTGGGTGAACTATCCCTTTAAGACTTTTTTTTGGTTTTGTGGTCCAGGGTCACATATGTAAATTATATAATAAAAATATCATTTTATTTATTTAAATTCTAAATAATTTATTTAGAATTCCTAAAAATGATAGACTACTACTACTCATTTTTAATATGCAGTTAATCATTTCTTTTGTTTAATAATGTTTTGTAGAAAACAAAGATTCAAACTAAATATACATTACCAATATACATTGTGTTTTTCATGAGTGGAAATGACAAGTGAGACTTCTGCGGTTGTTTTAACTCTATACATCAATCTAAATTCGATCAATGTATACATGTATGTATCTAAATAATGTATGTATCTAAATTAGAGAGCGTGCTTGTGATGTTTCAGTGGTGCAGTGGCTGATGGTGTGTCTGAAGGAAGAGGTTTTGAAGGCCGAGTCGTCTCTTCTGCAAGCCGCTTCCTCCTGTCCTTTGTATGGCAGAGCTCACTGCATCTCTGCAGTCCTGCAGCAGCTCAATAATGGGTACATCCACACACACTCAACCTTTTATTGTCTATTACAGAGGTCTTGGCATTCATTTTGTGTGGTTGATATGTTTCTGTGTGTTCAGATCACTTGTACTGCTGTCTGAGTGGAGGGCTGTTGTGTCAGAGCTCATAGGCCTGTGCTACAGGATGTCTGATGTCGTGTCACCTGTGGTTCAGAGCTCTTCCCCTGAGGGCCTCATTCCCATGGATACGGAGTCTGGTAAATGCATCTTGCACTGTCCTAACCAGTCGCTAGCATGTCCAGCAATGCACTAGTAGACTTTTTGTTGGCCCCTTGATTTACACAAGGTAGCCTCTCATCTGCCGGGGTAATGGATGGTATGTAATGTGTGATGGTAGAAATGCATCAACCAATTCCTACGCTGTTTTTATTATTGTATAGATTGTGATTATGTACACATGAGAGGGATGTGTTAAAAAGCATGTAGTAATACTGAAAATATAGATCAGGACGTGTCCCAAGCAAGTTAAGGCGAGGAAGAACATCTTAGTTGGTGTTGTTGACCAAAATGCCAAGTTTTATGTTCAGTTGTCCAGCAATATCACAACTTGCCATATTAATATAGAATTCAGATGATGTGCAAGTCACAGGAGTATTTTACAACAACTTCAAACATGGATCATTCAATCAGAATTTAGAGGCAGAACTGTCCATTTTATAATGTTAGTCTTTTTTGGTAAAAAGTAAAAAGAGAAAATAATCAAATTAGACGAGAATTAGATTTTATTATTCAAATCTAAAATTGTATTATTTTTGTTTCTTTATACAGTATGTAAAATGTTTACTTGAAGTACCTCTCTGAGATTAAGTTAATATTTCAGTAATTTAACCACACATTCATAATTAATATTATTAACAAAACACCTTATAATAATAATGATAATACAAATAATAACTAATTATAATAATAACTCTAATTATAAAAATTAAGACTGAAATATTGTATTTTAAATATATAGTTGTAGTGCCAAATATTGAATACGTAAGGGATAATCAACGGCTTGCCATGTATTAAATGATTTTAAATGCACGACGTGGAGACAAAGAACCACCCGACGCGCAATATAAAAATATTGCAGCGCAATATTTGACCGAATGGGTAAAAATGACGGTCAGTTACGGCTCGTTAGCTCTAACATTCTGCCCGCTTCAAATCAGACACAGAGATGAAATAGTGCAGTTAGATCACATTTATTTGAATGAATGATTATAACATTTATTTAAATTAATTATCGATCGTTTGTTCGAGTGAGAGAAAGAGAGAAAGATGACAGTTGTGTGTGTGAATTACCTGTGTCTGTGTGTCTCTCTCTCTCTACAAACAATTAAGTTTTAAGATTAGTGACTTAAACAGTACCCAGTGTTTTTACCTCCTCGTTGCTGAGGAATATAATGCAGTGATCCAGTATCTACATCATTTTATTAATAAAAGTCATGGGGCAGCGTTGACAGCTAGTTTATGTTGGCCTACTCCTGAACGTTTCTGTTTGCGCAGCGGGATCTCTGATCTCTCTCTCTGCGAGTGATGTGTGTGTGTCAGTTAAAGCAGTGCATTAATATAGAACGTTGACTTGGAACTACCTGTGCGTTAAACGGTTTTAATGCATACCTGCCAGCCAATCAGAATCAAGAATTCCAACAGAACATGGAATAATCATTTTTATTTTACAGTGCAAATTACAATACTAATGTTGTGTCTTAAATTTTTCACTTTCAAACATTTAAAGCTACAAGATTTTAATGTTTGCAATCCTCAAGCTTTTATTTTGGTGCAGTATTGGTGAAATGCTGTAATCTTCGGTCCACAATTTTTACGAATGTGAAAATAAAGTGAACACACGTGTGTTCCCACATGCACGTTAATTAAACGAATTATACAAATGGTAATCAATATGTTGTCCCGCCTTACATTTGTCAGTTGCATGCTTGTAATTACAATGCATGTTTTTCTTCTCTTCACAGAGACCTCTGCTGGCCTCCAGAAAATCCTGCAGGAGATTCAACCTCGTGACACAAATGACTTTTTCACTAGTGCCAGAGAGCTGGACCCCAGTGAGAGCGGCCGTGACAGCAAGCAGAAAGAAGAACACAGTTCATAAACCACAATCCTGTAACAGCGGTACAAACACAATTACCCATCACTAGATACAGTTCCACCCCATTGCCCTTTACCATAGTATCTGTCTCAAAACAAACTCATTTTGGACTCAGATTTCACACATTCAGGCACATCATAAATCCTTTAGTATGATGTCTTTAGAAACTGCGCTCATATTCTAAACGTTATAGTTTTAGTGGACCCAGAATTGATTTCAAACGAGGGCTGGTGTTGCTGTAATACATGTTCTGTCCATGAGAGGCCGACATTTAATCAGTGTTTTCCGAGTGATTATTTGGGAGTGTGTGTTTGTTGTCTAGGTGGTGGTGATGGAGAGGCCTATCGAGTCACCGCTCAGATGGTGCTGGTGTGTTGCTGGAGGACCATGAAAGAGGTGTCCATGTTGCTGGGTCATCTGTGTCAGAGCATGCCGCTGTGCTGTCCTCTCACGCACCCTGACCTCCTCGTTGCTGAGGAATATAATGCAGTGATCCAGTATCTACATCATTTTATTAATAAAAGTCATGGGGCAGCGTTGACAGCTAGTTTATGTTGGCCTACTCCTGAACGTTTCTGTTTGCGCAGCGGGATCTCTGATCTCTCTCTCTGCGAGTGATGTGTGTGTGTCAGTTAAAGCAGTGCATTAATATAGAACGTTGACTTGGAACTACCTGTGCGTTAAACGGTTTTAATGCATACCTGCCAGCCAATCAGAATCAAGAATTCCAACAGAACATGGAATAATCATTTTTATTTTACAGTGCAAATTACAATACTAATGTTGTGTGTCCATGTTGCTGGGTCATCTGTGTCAGAGCATGCCACTGCGCTGTCCTCTCACGCACCCTGACGGCAGAGGAGTCGTCACAGAGGACCAGGTCAGACACAGACACACACTCCACAGGTGTCACCTGAGCTGGCATTCATTGTCTGACGCGCATACACGCACTCATCTCAAAGAGACCCTTATGATGGAAGCCACCGAGCCTCCCTGAAGCCAAGATCTCAGTTACATAAGCGAGTGAGATATAATGGAGAACTGTACCTCATAAGGTTGAGTGGAGACTTTTTCCAGTAAGCTGATCTTTTTGAGCTCAGGGCCAAGAGATGAGACATCATGGTAATTGCTAATACAGACTTAAATATGGTCTAGAGAACAGCCCCTGAAGAGGCGTCAGGAAATGTGATCATCACGGTGAATACAACTTCATTTGCCATAAAACTGAGCCTGGCGGCCATTGAACAGAAAATGTCAGACGTATTTCCAGTACAGACACAAAGACTGTTCTAAACCCTAGGGAGTACGCTTCCTTCTAAGTTAGCACCCTATTGAAAATGTATGTATGTAAATGTAAAAGTAAGGAAATAATAATAATAATAATAATTTTTAAGTGATCATTCACCCAAAAATGAAAATTCTACTTGTTTCAAACCTTTAAGAGTTTAATTCTTCTGTTGAATACAAAAGGACATATTTTGAAGAATGTTGGTAAGCAAAAAGTTGACAAAGTCAACAGTTTGGTTACCACCATTTTTTAAAATATGTCCTTTTGTGTTCAACAAAAGAAAGAAACTCGTACAGGTTTGGAACAATGTGAGGGTGATTTTTGTGTGAACTATCCCTTTTTTATTTATTTATAAGGAATAAGGAAAAAATATATACGCGCACACACACACACACACACACACACACACACGTGTTTATTTATTTATTGTGTGTGTGTGTGTGTGTGTGTCTGCGCGCACGCGCGCGTATATATTTTTTCCTTATTCCTACACTCTACACTCACTGGCCACTTTATTAGGTACACCTGTTCAATTGCTTGGTAACACAAATTGCTAATCAGCCAATCACATGGCAGCAACTTCATGCATTTAGGCATCTAGATATGGTGAAGACGACTTGCTGAAGTTCAAACCGAGCATCAGAATGGGGAAGAAAGGGGATTTAAGTGAATTTGAACGTGGAATGGTTGTTGGTGCCAGATGGGCTGGTTTGAGTATTTCAAAAACTGCTGATCTACTGGGATTTTCACGCACAACCATGTCTAGGGTTTACAGAGAATGGTCCGAAAAAGAGAAAATATCCAGTGAGCGGCAGTTGTGTGGACGAAAATGCCTTGTTGATTTCAGAGGAGAATGGGCAGACTGGTTATAAAAAAAAAACATGTCAATCACTATTTATTAATATACGTATATTTGGAAGGAAATAAGGAATATATACACACATGCACACATTTTCATTTGTCGCAATGGATTCTGGGATTTACTTATTCGTGAAGGATGCATAAGATGCTGCCTTTGTATTTGGCTAAAGTGAGGCGTGTTAGAAGGAAGCATGATTTTGCTCCATATGGTTCAGGAGAGTCTTTGCATCAGAAGTGTGCCTCCAGCATGAACCGCACCAGCTGCCTGCGCTTAGCAGGGCAGTTATTTTCCGTCGGCAGTAGTTTAAACCAAGTGAATGTATATGTAGTCTCCTGCTGTGCCCGTCTTCAATTAGCATGTGCCCTCTTAGCATAGCGCTTTCATTTCAGACCGGCCTGCTGTTTAACGGTCCGACTACCTTTCCTATCCTGCATTCTTTTCAAATGGCTTCCTTTTTCCCTGAAGAGCTGAACCACTTCACACAGAACTCATTCAACAGCTTTTTATACCCGAGACTCTGGCAGTGGTTGTTCTGGCAGCATCTCGGTCCTGTATGCCAATACCATACATAAACATGAAAGTTTCCTACATCCTGGTATATGTTCAAAACCTCTTGGGTGACTTAAAGCCACAAGCACTTAGAGTACAATGTGAGCATGTGTTTGTAACAGTATCTGTGTACGTTCACTCTACATTGAACAAGCAACAATTAGCTTGAGGTGTAAAGTAGTGCTGGGCAATATACCGGTTCATACCAAATACCGGTGTTTATTTTTGTTATGATATGAATTTTTCAAATACCGCAATACCGGTGTATGTAATCAAAAATAGTGTTATACATATGAAGAGTTCATTTGCAGTGGTGAGGGAACAGCTGTATGTGTTACTAAGCATGAAAGTTCCAAAACTGAAGCTGTAGAACTAATAGAACGTGATGACACAGAAGAACTCATCCACAATATCCACAAATATCCACCGCCCCCTGCCATCAGCTCCTGCGTCTCTCACACACACACACACACACACACACACGAGCGCGACTTTAGCACTAAATTTAGCAACTTTCAGACCCTTTTAGCAGCAGAAAAAATACCGTGATATACATTTTTGGTCATACCGCCCAGCACTGCTGTAAAGTGAAAATTCCCTCTCTTGTCCTGAAACCTACTGCCCAAAAAGGAAGTCACCCAAAAATCATCATTTATTCAAACTTGAGTTGTTACAAACCAATATGACTGCTTTTTTTTTTTTCTGTGGAAAATAAAATAAATAGTTACTATATTTTATAGTTAAAATAGTTTTTTAATTTAGATTTTTTTTTTCTATTTTCTTTTAGTTTTTTCTTTTATTTATTTTTAAAATGTTTTTGTATTCTATCGTTTTTTTTTTATACTTTTAGTTTTATTATTTTAGAGCTGCCACAATTAATTAGTCAACTGGTATCATTAAAATTTGTTTAAAAAATGTAGCACTTTCATGTTTAATGGTTGTAAGTTTTTAAGTATACCGTGTATCAAATATGTAAATTATTTTGTGGACATGTTTATTTTATTTTAGGTAGTTTTGGAGTCATTAAAATATATTTAATGTACTTTCAGTTAACAAAAATGCATATATTATTTTTTTATTTTTAATTTCACTATATAATCTGAAGCCATGCAGCTTCATTTTGTGTGAGGATTAGACCAAAATGTAAGCCATTATGTGTAAAATCTTAAGATCTTCTAACTGATGAAGTGAAAATGCAAAAGTACAAATAAGATTTGACAGGTACAGCAGAGGCTGAGATTTTTAGTGAATAGCAGGTTAAATTTCAATCGGTTTCTCACTCAAAACTAATGTATGACTTGAGAAGAATATATTGCACACATTGTATGGACTGCTTAATTTTACGGCATCTGACCCAATATGATTTCAGAGTTTCTTTTGTAGCACATCCTGTGCAGAGCAGATTTTACATAGCAGTTTAAGGGGCAGAAGGTTTAAAATCTTAAATTAGTTTTTGATGTCTTAAGCTAAGAGCATAACTTCGCCAAAACCAGACAGCTTGATCAAATGTTCCCACTTTGTTTTCCGTGATAGATCGCTGTAGTTTCCAAATCCAGAAATTAGCGAGGGAGTGAGCAGACCTTGCAACATCTTTTGCACGTACAGAAAAATGAAGTAAGTCATTAGAACTGTTACTTGATATCTGTGCGAAGGTTTCCGAATTGGAGTTGGTCAGCCAGCGGCCTCAGCGAACACATTTATGTGTCAGTGCAATTGTTACTTTCACTCCTCTGTCCTGCGGAATGACCTCAGCGCTTTAACAGATGGAGTGCAGTTATTCAGTGATGTCACTGGTGTGGTTACCATGGCATATTCGCCTGTTATATAAAGGATGATTTAAGGATGCTGCCGGGGTCCACATGGCTTGTGTTTGCGGTTTGTGTTTATCTTTTTCCAGACCGCATTTCTTCGGAGTGTTCGGGCCGAGCGTGTGTTTATGACAGTGATTGTTCTGTTTCCCAAACGTGTGTGTCCTGCATCCTGTTATGTCCTCCGTCGCTGTGGAAACGTGGCGCATGTTTCCGGACTGCGGAGGCGCCATGGCAACTGCAAACAGTTAGTAACATCTCGATGGTGGAGAATTCCTTGGATTAAGAGTAAACTGCTTTCAGTAGGGGATCCTGGGGGTTTTCGCCATCATTGTGGTACCCAGAGAAGTCATACTCTGGTCATTTGAATATCAAAAGCTCTTTACAATCAAATCTGCCAGCTTTTATTGCGTAGGTCGCCTTTGAGAAAGAAAGAACGTTGGCGTGAAATGAAGGTCGTACTCATTTGTCTCAAGATCTCCTTGCATGTTTGGTTTGGATAGACGGGCTAATCTGGAGCTAAGAAAGTTGGGTCTGTCTGGCTTGCGCATGGCTTTGGTTAAGCTGGGGGTCTCTCCGTCCCCTTTGGACTGAGTTGAGAGACTTGTGAGTAATTTGGATAATCCAGGGCGCTCCTAAACTTTAAGTACTGTTGAAGCACCTCACTCTGTTTACAAGTTGGCTGCATTAACTTGAACTGTTTTGAGAGCTGATAGTGATTGTAAATGAATACTTTTACCATTGTTTTGCAAATGTTCATGGGCAAAATCCAGGGATTTCAATAGGAATCCACATGATTGGAAATGTCACATGAAAGTGACAAAGATTTCCCCCCCGCTGTTCATATTTCACAACAGGTGCACCGTGTTGACCAACAGAAAGCTGCTTGGTTTGAAACAGTGTTATCGTTTATTGAAACTTAAATTATTAAAAACTATTTTAAAATAAAATGCTAAAGTAAAATAAAATAAAAAAAATTGAATGAAAAATGTACAAGTTAGTCAGTTAGTTGCCAAGGCAACATTTTCTTTTTTTTTTTAAGGTAAACTGGTAAAATAAAGTTCCAATGTATTAACTGACATGAACAATGAACAATACATTTATTACAGTAGTTATTAATCTTTGTTAAAGTTAATGAAAATATAGTTGTTCACTGTTAGTTCATGTTAATTCACAGTGCATAATGTTAACAAGCACTTTCGATTTTAATAATGCATTAGTAAATGTTGAAATTAACATTACCTAAGATTAATAAATGCTGTAGAAGTATTGTTCATGTTAACTAATGAACCTTATTGTAAAGTGTTAAGGCCCGTTCACACCAAGCACAATAGCTATAAAGATAACGATAAAGATATAGTTCTAAAAATCGT